TGTTTATGCTCACTAAATCAAAAACATCCAACTTGTTTTCTCAATTCTTTGTTTACTTTTTTGCCTATAATACGCGAATTTCAGAAGGTCGAATATTTGTTCCACCATTCGGTAGGAATAAGGTAAAATCATGTTCTTTGACTAATAAGGGTTCAATGTTATTGAATATTATGAGTATAAATAAGCTTTTACCTGAAAATATTGGATTGATGTCAAAAAATGAAGAATACAGTTTCGTCCATAAATTTAAAGATAATTTCATATGTGGAAATTACGAGTTGGTGCAAAACATATTTCTTTGAAATTTTTATTTTTAAAAAATGGTACCCCCTGGCTAAATGCTATCAAACAACCATTCTAGGGTTGCGATTCTATGCTGAAAATATGACCCTCCAAATCCTTGTAGTTTTCGAGATATCGCATTTTTTAGAAAATTTAAAAAAAATGAAAAAACTTAGAATTTTTTTTCAAATTATTTCTCATATTCTTAGTTCGTCAGCTGGAATGAGAACTGGCCGAAATGACAGGACTAGATGTAATAACTATTCCTTAATGAGGGCTTAATTTAAGGGAAAAATAAATTTTTCCTCACAATCCTATTTTCATTCGAATATAAATTTATCTTTATTACTTAGTTGCAATCCTAATTTGCTTAACGGGTAGACGTCAAGTAGGCACATACTGCGCCTTTTGTCTATCCCCTCCATTTTGTTGATTTAAAAATTTAAATAAATTGATGCTTGTATTATCAACTATATGGAGAAATAAATTATTCTTCTTCTTCTTCTAGACAACATTATTGTACTAGAAACAAATAGCGAAAATATACTAAATTTGTTATTTTGAAACTTAAAAAAATTCTGATAACAAAAAATGAAAATATTAATGAAAACTTGTGATTTAATAGCACTTAAGGCCTCTTTAAACTGAGTCTCTTGCTTAGCGAAGTTATAATCGTACAAGAAAATTGCGAAATAACTCATGGCTTCAATTAGCTTTGCCAAAAAATATGATAAAAACAGCAGACCGCTTAAGAAATATCGAAAAAATATATCCGAACAATGTTTTATTGAAAAAATTTTTTAAAGAAAATCGATAATTTCGAAAAATTTCGATGATTTTTTCCATTTTTTTTTTCAAAGAAGGTCGGAGAAGTGATTTGAAAATTTCAAACATAATTTGCCAAAGTTCAACCAATGTCAAAAAACGAAGGGAAACAAACTTTAAAACATGCGGTAAAGAAGCCGACAATAAATAAGTGAAAAAACAGCCGAAATATTTTCAGTGAAAAAAATCATGCACAAAAATCTTGCATCTACCATCTACAAAGCAAGCGCTAGCCCTTTATAGGCAAAAGAGGCAAGATGCGTAAGCTTCGCATTTCGCTTTGAAATGTACCATTCTGTCAAAACTATTTACTGGAAAAATAGTCTGGTACCCGGTTGCAATATCCTTGCTTATCGCAATTGTTATACGGAAACGAAATCAAAAACTGTTTTTCTATTTTCTTTGAATTTTCTGCCGTTTTTTTGGATGGACGACGAGGAGTTATTAGAAGTACAATCAGATTGGAAGAACACTCACGTCTTACCCTCTAGCGGTAAATTGATGAAATTAAGCCTCAAAAAACACTATTCTGATACAACACACAATCGGAGCTGTGTTATATTTAAGTATCCTCGGCCCTTGTTCTTTCCCACTGCAGGAGTGTTTTCAGAAAAAAGATCAATCAATAAAATTAGGGTGGGTGTTCAGCTCAGCGTATTCGTGTACACCAGCAAAACACGAAACGTAGGCAACAGAAAGTTTCAATGAAATCGAAAAACTTCAAGAATTTCAAAGAAAATTGCTCTTAAAATCCATTGAATTTCAACACGGAGGCGGAGCTGAGCTTCGCACCACTTCCAATCTAACAACTACAGGATTAAAACAGCAAGCGGCCCAAGAACTATCTAATAGGACTTCGAATGATGTAACCGTTGAAGAAAGAACTAGAAAAACAAAAAAACATCAGCAAAAAATTAATACTGATATTTTATTACAAAACAAACAAGCCGAAAACACCTCAGCAGAAACCCTTCACGATAAAAAAAAACTCAAAAACTAATTGAAAAAATTCCAGTCGCCTTTACATATAACGATTTAATTTGGAGAGAGAAATTTTCCGTCCTATAACAAACGAATTAAAATTGAACTTAAAAAAAACAAAGTCAAACTGCAAAAAATCAAATATGAGCGTGAAAAATTTTTAGGAATTTTCCTGAAAACTTTAAAACTCATCACGACCTATATAAAACCTTATCACTCATCACGACCTATATAAAAACCACCACGACCTCAATAACCTTACGTTATTGAAACGTGGTCATTCAAAAGAATGTATAATTGCCGATTTATATGCCTGATACAAAACATCTGGAACCAACAACTAGTATCGTTTCGTCAACCTAAAACTCATCACAGTCTGGCAACGCATGCAAGCTTGCATATGAAATACAGCTAATCTAATGATGAATGCAATTAAGTTACTTGCATGTTCCTCATACCGTTTCAAATTTTCGTCTTCTAGGAAAAAAGCGATTCGACTTCTCGGAAAAGATAACTTACCTTGTATTATAACAAAAACAAAACATTTCTGTATGAATGCTTTTTGTACTGATGATACTGCTCATAATCTATACCCGGACTTTTACAAAATAAATTTCAGACAGAAGATCACATGCGATACATAAAGCAACCCTAAAACGTTTACTTCTCAGGGACACCAATTCATTTGGCCCAAATTGGCTCGAAAACGATCGTTCCATTTTCTTAAGTTCAATTTCGACAAAAAATATTTTATCTGATATTTTATTAATTTACAACTTTGTTAGCCGTTTTAAATTCAATTCTTAGGCGAAATTCGAAGCTACTTTAGTCTTCATCCCTCTCTGTCTAGAGATAATCCAAGTAGAGAAAATCAAGTTCAAAAATTCTGCATTTTTCCTTTTTTCAGGTTTACTGAAATCGGTGCAAGCGCTGTAGTTTGATGAAATTTTGTTTCCATTTGTTTCCCATTTGAGGCAAAAAAAAGTCAGTACGAAAAAACACAGCCGCTAACAGACAGCAGGAAAAGAGTCAATGAACGCCAGTGAATACAAAAAAATACGTACTTGTTTTTTTTTAAAAAAAATCTCTTCTTTTGAATTTCCAAAAAATAGATAGCCTTAAAGCTATATGAATTTTTAGGAAAAACTACGACTTCCGCTTTTTTGGTAAAATTAACCCAGCTTGAGAAAACTAGATCAATAAGAAAAGTTTTATTTGGCTGGGAAATTCGATAATTAAATTCCACTTTCGAAACTTAAAATCGATTACGTTTTTCGTGACCATAACACTTTTACTGTTCGATAGTGCAGTTTGCCCTCCTTTTAATAGAGGAAATGAACTCAACTTAAAAAGAAATCAAAAAACAGACCGCGAAAAAAAATACATTTGAGCCTACACAAATTTTAGGATTTTTTCTGAAAAAAAAAATGAAAAAAAAACATCGCGACCTATGATAAGAGTTTGAGGTACGCCCATCGCCTCTTAACTATGCTATTTTGCAGTTTCTTCTCACTTTGTGTATTAGAAAGAACTACCGTGTAAGGCACCTCCTGCGCTTCGAACTTTTGAGAACTCGTAAAAAACCGCATAGATTGAAAAAAAGATCTGTAACCTTTGAGTGCACTCTGACAGCACCCAATAACAGGGTTCGTAATTTTGCTAAGTTTTTTATATCTAAGTTCTGTTAAATTTTTTAAAAAGACATTGAAAAACGTCACATCTTGGCAAATAAAAGCATTTGAGCAGTCGCATTTGGATGCAAAATTTGCAACTCCTGAGAGTACTCTCAGAGAACCCAACTACTGGGTTAAGAATTTCAAATTTCGAGGGAAATGAAAAACCATTAAAACGTCACATCTAAAAAATTACAAAAACTTGAACAGTCATACGTGGAGGCGAGATTCGCAACCCACTCGAGTACGCTGACAGCCCTCAACTGAAAGGTTGGGAATTATAAAATTTGAAGAAAATGAAATTAAAGTTTTCTAAAAAATTTTTCAAAAAATTCGCAAGAAAAGCCATATATCGAAAATTACAAAAAAAATTTGAGCAGTCATATTTGGCGATAAAATTCGTTCGCAACTCCTGAAACTACTTTGATAGCCCCCAATACAAGGAAGAGGGCTTCGAATTTCAATCAAAATATGAAAAACTACAATGATTTGAACAGTCATAATTAAATAATTAGAAGTGAAATTTGCTTCTTTCTATAGTATTCTGACAGCTCCCAAAATGGAGTGTTTGAAATTTCAAAAATTTGAACAAAAAAAAATAATTCAAGTTTTCGGAAAATGTTTTTGAAAAATCGCAATGTCTTATCTCGAAAACTAAGATCTTTTTAGCAGTCGCATTTGGATCTTGAAACTCCTGAGAGTATCCTCACAGTATCCAACTATAAGATAAGGAATTTCAAATCTTTTGAACTTTTTAACATTCAAGTTTTCTGAAAAATTAAAAAGAAATCATTAAACACGTCATATCTCGAAAACTACAAGGATTTGAGCAGCCATATTTGGATACAAGATTCGCAATCCTTGAGAGTACTCTGACAGCCGCCAAATACCGCCTTGCGAAATTCAACTTTCGCAAATTGAGTTTTCCGAAAAATTAAGTCGGAGGAATAAACACTAGATTCAAACCGGAAAATCGAAAAAAATATATCTTAAGCGTTGCAATAGACGATCTAGCTTAACCACGCATAGATACTTTATGCCCTTAACTGTTGCACAGAAACGCTTAAACATGGCAAGATACGTGTCATGCGCATTTAAATATAGTAAAGCATAAAACTTCAAGTTGGATCTTTCCAACAATAATACCCTTACACAGCGAACAATCCATCCGTCAATAGTAATCACTAAAAGCTTTACTTTTAGGAGCCTACACTTTGTTTGATCAACACCTTGCCAGAATTGAAAAATAGATTTGAATTACTTGAAACAGCTAATTATCATTATAGATGCAAAGCTCTAAATATAACATTAATCTGCAGGGAATTTCCAATCAAAAATAAGAATTTACAATTTATACTAAGACCAGTCATTTTAGAGATAATAATCTGGCTCATATATGTTGAAGATTTTCAGGGTTTTATAATTTCAGGCGAAGTAAATATTGATTTTGCCCGTGTAGTCAGCAGAAGCAAACACCTCTCCCACTTTCAAATCTCCAACTGTGAATCGTGACGAGACACCAGAACGTCCTTTAACCGCAGCCCACTCATTGCTATCTACTATTCCTATCGAGCTGTGAAGTGTCATGCTTATAGGCCCCATATTAAGGTCATCGTGGAAGTTGGATGTTACAGGAAGCGATGCTCCGCAAGTGGCAGTTTCGTCAGCTGATACGTGGTGGAACCCTGAATCGAACAGTTCTGATTCCTTCGAAGCTCCTCTGGATGACAAACGCCCCTCGGATACCTCATACTGAAGGGTCGCTGATTTCTTCTGAACCGGAGAACAAGATCTGTCTCTATGTATATTGGTAACAGTTTGGGTCGACAAGCTCTTAGAAGCTGCATTTTGTGCCGCCAAAGCCTTCAACTGTTGCTCTTGAACCCTCCTTTGACATCTGTCCAGACAGTCAATGGCTTCTACGGTTGGACTGAATGTAGCAGCAGTTACTGAAACCTCGTGTGATTGAATGCACTCAAATATTGTATTTTTTGATTTTCCATCCAGCGGTTCAGTATGCCAAATAAAAATTCCTTTACACTCTGATCCACTGATAATAAAATTTCCAAGTCTCGAAAAACCCGTTCGAATAGGACTGTTTTTGTTGGAATGGCCTTTGTATTTGGCTTTTTGTCGGAGAAATAACGCTCCGGCATTACTAATTTGCCCGGCTACTTTGTCTGAGTTCGCCAGAAATCCGTGAGAAGAAACGTTTGACGCCTCGTATAGTCGGATCCGACAATCACTTGAAGAAATCAAAAATGTTTCTGGGTTCCTTGGACTTTCTTGAATACTCACTATCTTTATGTTGGAACGCCTCAATTTTCCCTTCGAATTCAAAATTCTTGTTTCGGACAGCAAACGAAGTTGAACTGCATCTAGTTTCAGAACCTGACCATTTAAAGTTCCGATAAGTATATAGTCACCATTATTGTTATAGCACATTGAAGTTATTGGTTGTTTTTTGCCTCCCGTCGCCTCGTAAAAACTGAGCACTTTTTTCTCGGTGATAGACCAAATTCTAACTTTACCATCCATGGCACCGCTCAAAAATATATTTACTTTCAGATCTTTCGGCGGAAAGGACACACATGTCACTATGTTTTGATGATCAAAAGCGCCTAAACATTTATTCATATGGATATGCCACAGTCGGACGTTTTTATCCATCGACGCAGAAATCAGATATGAAGAATTTTGAGTAGACCAGGCAATATCCATGACGTCAGAAGAATGTTTCGAGAATGTTCTGTAAGGCTCGGGAAGAAACGGTGATGTGTGAAACGAAGTGTCTGTATTTGAGTCCTCACTTTTCAAGCTATTAGACTTCAAGCTGCCTTCTAGTGACTTTTGGGACGCATACGACATGGTTCCTGGATTTGCCACTGAAGCTCTAGTAGAACTCGCGCTTACCAGATTTAGATTTTCAAACTCACATCGGAGGACCCATACCCTAATCGCTTTATCTTGTCCAGCAGCTGCTAAATATTTCCCACAGTTTGAAAACTTCAGACACCAAATTGCGAGGTTGTGTTGATGTGATTCAATGGTTTGAACAATAGTAGTGCTCTTACTGAAGTTCTGTTCCCTGTCTTCGGGATAATTATCTGAAGCGTAACTTGGGATATGTTGATATAGAGATGAGTGAAAATCTTCCGCGTTCACGGCAGATGGTTTCGTATCTGTATCAGTTCCAGAAGTAACCAGTGCGTTCTCATTTTTAGCGCGCGGTTCCTTCTTCGACCTTGTTTTCTTGAACTTCGTTAAAAGTTTCCGTGGTGTCTCTCGGATTCCGAACATTCGCGAGCTTCTGGTTTCTTGAGTTGTATTCGTACTTTCGCTATAGTCAGACGCTGAGTCTTCTGTGGGAGCGTAATTTCTGTCTAACGTTTTGTAAAACTCGCAAGGACTATGAGCTCTGTGAGCTGGAGGCATCGAGCTTGTTTTCTTTTCCGACTTAGGCACTGAAAGGTATTCCGGAAAATCTGACGATGGTGTAAATGACGTCCCGCTATCGGAAGTCAATCCCGAATTTAAGTTGTCCAAACTGAGATGTTCCTTGCGTTTCCATTTCTTTTCATAAACGTGAAGCTTGGCTCCCGACGAGGTCGAATTATCAGTTCTACCATCGCTATCCGTTTCAGTGGACCGAGTTAAAGAAATCCGAGGAGCAATTTCGGGTTCGTTATCTGAGACAGTCGAGTACCCTATATGTGGTAATTGCACATTTTGTGACACTGGCGAGAAGTCGGCGTCATTCAAGGATTCATTGCTTCTATAATGTTCGTAATCATCTTGATCCCTGTTTCCAGAGCTCAAAGAATCGTCCACTATGTCCGAATTTTTATCGTTTAAACTCATATCATCGTAAATTTGAACTGCCTGAGAATTCAATGCAAAATTCTGGTCAGCTAAGCTTTTTAAGGTGTCCCCGCGACATGTTGAGAACTCGTCATTAGCTTTTAAAGTACTCGTATCAGGCCTAAAAGGAGACTCTTTTTGAGGCAGATCCATTTCACCGGTAATATCAAACCCATCGGCTGCGTCGAAAAATTTTTCGAGATTATCTTGATCATCATCATCGTCACATACACTGGTTGATGATACAGACATCTTGATTAAAGCCTAGAACCGTTTTAAAATTTCTCTATCGCCATCTATCTGAAAAATAAAATAGAGCTCTTACGTTTAAGAACAAGTCTCATTTCATGGCGTACGGAGCGTTATAAAATTCTATCGTGAAGCGCAGAATCTTCTTTATTAAAGATGCTCTAAAACAATTACAAAATTCCTTAGGGGAGCTTACATCTGTATTGCCGAGAACCAGTTGAATTTCAACGTATCGTAAACAGTGTAACAGTCGCCTTCTTAAGTCACATATGAGGTTGAAGAAAAATAGGCCTTATAACCATTGTCTCAAGAGTCAGGGACACTATCTCTTGTGTTTTTCTACCTCAAGCGGTCGGAGCCAATTCGGTTCACTTGCGACATGAGACTGCAAACCGCGTTACGGCTCAAAGGCTACTTCCAAAATACCCCCCCCCCCCCACTCTAGAAATAAGAACGTCCCCATGCTCAGGTCTCAAAATACCTTAAACACGCGAACGCTGTTAAAAACAAGGTCAGAACCTTCCGTATGGTTACATGTCAGTATTTAGACAGCCGCGTATTCATACTGGTCAGTATTTAGACAAATACTGTTTCAACCAATCAGAATCGAGACAAAGAAGAAATTAATAAATAATTATTATTTATTTTGGATTATTTATGTTTTTTCTCGATTCTGATTGGTTGAAACAGTATTTGTCTAAATACTGACCAGTATGAATACGCGGCTGTCTAAATACTGGCCGCACTCCCTTCCGTATACAGTTACTTTTTATTAGACAGTGGACCTTTGAACCATTTCAGATGGATCAACCTTAAACTCTCCCTAACACAACATAATAATGTAACCTTGTAAACGTTAAAACGTTTTCATTGCAAACTGCAACATCATCAGTAACTAAAGACAAAAAACATATATACATATGTACACATGATATTAGCGTACAAAATTAACAAAGTGGGAAAAAACTAAAAAGCAACCAAACCAACTACTATTGATAGAATTAAGACAGAGAAATCTGTGACAATAAAACTAAAACTAAAGTTTAATTTCCGTATTGATACTATTGATAGAATTAAGACAGAGAAATCTGTGACAATAAAACTAAAACTAAAGTTTCTAAGCTTCCGGTTACCTGAAAATGGAGTTTTTGATGACAAGACTGTACATAATTTCCGTAGAAAGTTACTTCGCTCTGAGTTATCCAAAGCACACGAGGTGTGCCAGTCGGTCATATTTGGAAGTTTGACCTTGAGAAAAACAAGAACGCTTAATTTTGGAGTGAAATTTGATTTTTCAAAAATTCGAATGGAGCCTGTCATGCACGATTTTCTCGCGATAACTGAAAACCGAAAAAGAGAAACAAGAACGATCGAGTAACAATCGCGGGAAAGTTGCCAGACAAAGCAGTAGGAAATTGCCATTCGCAATTTCCGTCACAATAAAACTAGAGTAGAGCTGTCCTATCTGAAACAGAAGGAAGCGTATTCCCGAGAATTGGACTATTATTACTCGACTGGATTATCATTCAAACTGGACTAGAGTGAAACTTCGATGGAAAGGTGGACAGCTTGAGTGTCCCAATGGTTCACTAGAAACCATACTCTAGAGTTCAAACTTGGTCCTGTTATTGAAACTGATAAACATTAAACTCATTTAGTTACATTATTTAAATCTCGAATTGATTACCGACTTAATTACTCCCAGTTCTTGAGCGTGCTACGATGTGAGTACTCAATTTAAATTTCTAGAGTGTGTTTTATGATTGTTATGTTGAGGTAAGGCGAGTTTTAGGTTGATCCATCTGAAATGGATCAAAGTTCCACTGTCTGATAAAAAGTAACTTAACGGATTGTTCTGACACGGTTTTTAACGGCGTTCATGTATTTTGGGTATCTAGAGACCTAAGTATGGGGACGTTCTTTTTTCTAGAGTGGGGGGATATTTTGGTAGTAGCCTTTAAGCTGTAACGAGTCGTAGTCTCATGTCACAAGCGAACCGAATTGGCTCCGACTGATTTGAGGTAGAAAAACACAAGAGATAGTGTCCCTGACTCTTGAGCCAATGGTTATAGGGCCTATTTTTCTTAAGCCTCAAGTGTGACTACAGTAGACGAATCTTACAAGGCGAAACTTAATTCTACGACAAAAACAGATGAAATTAGGCGTCTTCTTGCTGATGCTTGTGGCGTATTATTCTTACATAGTGTTGTTTTTTATACTCGTCAGTTTATGAGAGACGTCACTCGTAAAACGAAGCACACGCACGAAATGAAGATTCAAATTTTATCTGAGCGTCAAAGTAAGCCACTGAGGACGGTTAAAGATATGTTAAGATTCTTGACGATAGTATTAGTCCACCTTCTTGGGTTACTGACTTGTTATCCCTAGGCCCTAAGCATCCAATTCTTGACAAGTTCCGTGAGCTTCATTTTCTTGCTGATGTTGATTCTTTGTTGAGAACACTTAAAGAAAACGATGCTTCTAATGATTGTTTGAATGATGTTAATGCGCTTGCACAGTGGTATGTCAAAAAAGCAAAACAACAACGACCTGATCGTGCTCTCTCTAAAGTGAATCACTACATGAAAAGAAACGATATAAAAGCTGTTCCTTTTGACAAAGGGTCTGGTTTTGCCTTGATGACATCAAACCAGTACGAGACAAAACTTCTGGAGGTGTTGTCTGGTGATCAATTTCAGACGTTGAGAGCAGTGAAAGGTAAACCCCTGTTGTTGAAAATTGAAGAACGTTTTAACAAGTCCCTGCAAACTCTTTGTGAACATGGGAGTATCTCGCAGGCGTTTTATCAGTCCACGCGTGCCACTGGCTCTCAGTCAGCTAGATTGTATGGTCTCGCTAAGTTGCACAAAGACAATGTGCCATTATGCCCCGTTTTATCTTTACCAGGTAGCTGCTATCACAAACTGAACAAAATTTTATCGCGTTTCTTCGACAAAGTGCCTGGAGCGAATATCGAGACTTGTACTCCGGCAAAGAAGGATCTGCTAGCCAGCTCCACTATTGATGAAGATGAAACCGTTTTTTCCCTTGACGTGAAGAGCTTGTATACTAACGTTCCAGTTCAGGAAGCCATCATTCATGCTGTGGAATGTTTGTATAGTTCTGAATGCGTTCCTGAGTTCGAGAAAGACGTGTTCATTCAGCTTATGAAATTGGCGGTCACAGAAGTTCATTTCATGGCTTGTGGGCAGTGGTTTCTTCAGAAAGACGGCGTTGCCATGGGCTCTAGTCTTGCAGTTTTTCCGGCGAACTTGTGGCCGAAGAAATTTGAGGAAAAGATACGCCTAGAAGTCACTAGACCACCTAGCACTGTGGAGAGCAACATTTGTAAGGTGTGTCTTGAGTTGGTCACTTGGGAGGGCAGCTCTGTTTTTTGTGACGGCTGCTGTACCTGGTGCCATGCATGAAGCTTGCATCGGGTTCGCGGTGTCAGAAATTACCAATTCTGAGTGGTTTTGTTCTGCTTGTACGGAGTATAACAGAACTATCGAGACTTGCAAAATTTTCGGTAGGTATGTCGATGATGTTATACGAAGCTCTAAAAATGCCAATATTGAGAGTATTTTATCGTTTGTCAATAGTTTACATGTTAACCTTGAATTTACCATCGAAAGGTTAAATGACCGGAAAATCCCGTTTCTTGATATATTGGTAACTTTGCGAGACAAGAGACTTAACACTGAGTGGTATTTAAAACCTACTGACACAGGTATTTTGCTCAATTTTCGGGCAACAGCTCCGATAAGATTCAAGAAAAACATCATTCAGGGTACTGTACATCGCATTTTTAATGCTACGTCTGACTGGAGTTCTTTTCATACTGCTATCGAACGTGCTTGTGTTTTTTTCGAGCAAAATTAATATCCTCCAGTCTTTTATCAACCTATTATACGCAATACTATCACAAAAATTTTGACGACTGAAGGTACCCCAACGTCGGAGGACCGCAAAAAACCGGAAAAGCCGACAATGTCCAACAACTTGGTGATGCAGTATCGTGGCAATATATCTGATACGTTTGCTAGAAGACTCAAAAATTTACTGGTAGTTCTGTTTATTTTACAACTCGAAAACTTAAATCTGCACTTCCTTCCTTGAAAAATTCTATCCCTTCCGAGCTCCAAAGTGGTGTTATTTATCAATTGACGTGTTCTGGGTGTTCATCCAGCTACGTCGGAAAGACCATCCGACACTTCAAAACCCGTTTTGCTGAGCATAGAAAAAAGGATTCACCAGTTGGAATGCACACAAGGTCATGTGGAGACAAAAACCAGCAGTTAGACTTCAAAATTTTAGATAAATGTACGGACAACTACAAACTTCTGACTTTGGAAGCATTGTACATACAGAGAACCAAGCCGTGCCTCAACCAGCACGAGGATTACCGACAAAGAGAGCTAACTATTAAACTTTAGTTTTAGTTTTATTGTCACAGATTTCTCTGTCTTAATTCTATCAATAGTAGTTGGTTTGTTTGCTTTTTAGTTTTTTCCCACTTTGTTAATTTTGTACGCTAATATCATGTGTACATATGTATATATGTTTTTTGTTTTTTAGTTACTGATGATGTTGCAGTTTACAATGAAAACGTTTTAACTTGATGTGTTTTTTACATAATAATGTAAAACACTCAAGACATTAAAATTGGGTATCTACCGACACGACTTCTAGAATCGAGTAACTAAATTAATAAGCAACTCTAGAATTAATCCGGTAATCAAGTCTAACTTAGAAGTTTGAAATGAATAAGTTTTATCTCAAGACACAAGTTTTCTATTTGGACCATTGGGCAACTTCAGTTGTCCACCTTTCCACCGAAGGTTCACTCTGGTCCGCTCTCGTTCGGTTTATCTGGCGAAATTGCGAATTGCAATTTCACGCTCCTATTTTTTGGACTACTTTAACCGCGATTGTAGTTCGATTCTCATTATTTTCTCGTATTTTCAGTTTTGGCGAGAAACTTGAGCCTGACAAGCTCAATTCGAATTTTTGAAAAATTGCATTTCAACTCCCAAAATCAAGACTAAACGTTGCTCAAGGTCGAACTTCGAATTAAGACTGACTGGCACATACTCCCCGGACTCAAAATTGATGTCCTCTTTGCGTGTCGTTGTCTGTCAGTGAGCCCTCAGAATGTTGAGTGCGCCTCAAGATACAAAACCAGTGGTCATTAACAGAAATTTGCAGCAGATTTAACTTTATCTACACCCCAAAATTCACAGCCATGCAAAGTTGTCACATTTTCGCTAAACAGCAATCGAAATCTGCATTCACCTGCACCCTAAATTTCCGCTTTGTAAACTATCTTTAAAATTTCTTTTATTTTGCCAATTCAGAAAATTGTCATGCAGCGTTTAGATTTATCTAGTAGATATATTATACTAATAACAATAATTCTTTCATTAAAATTTCTTTTCCGTGCCCTCAGATTTCACCTGAGTTCACACTCAAGCATCTTTCTCTTTCCCCTGCTCATGACTCAAGAACCAACCCCTGAACACCCTGTTCTGTTCGTGCCACTTCGAGGTACTGGGTCCTGACAAATTCGACACCGTAATTTGCCTCGCTAGTTCTTCTTCATCATCGTAACTGATCACGATCTCTTCCCATGCCTTCAGCTGATCGTATGCTCGCATCCATTACTTTTGCTCTTGTAATCTTTTCGCCTGATTTGGTAGACCCTTCACTTTAGACTCCCTATTCAAGCAAAAGGAGTTGTACAAACTCAAGCTCACGTTCTTCGCCAGGTCCTCCTCCAGTATCGATTCTCTCACCTTGGTATTATTTCTAGACACTCTACCAACCCTTTTCCAACCTGTGCTTATCGCATTACTATGAGTTAGCAAGAGTCTCTTGAAGGCCTCTGGCCCGATCTAGAACAGGAACTGTCGATATTTTTTCTGATGCTTGTTTATGTGATTCTTCGTCACCGTGTACAACCAAAACGTCAGCGTCGCTCGAAATCATGAAAAGAATCTTATGCGACTCCACACGTGCCTCACCTCCTTGGGCACAGCGAATACTTTACACGCAGTCTCAAACAACTCAAGCCTCCGGCTGTAGTCGATGGCATGTATTGACTCCACTGTTGGTGCCCTCGACACTGTTGGTGCCCTCGAGACAATGCAAGGGCATTCCCCGTGTGTCAGTTTGATGCTCCGGAGACTCCGCTGTCCTGAAGCTTCCAACAGAGGTTCAAACTTCATCGTCTTTTCATGCATCACGTCGTTTTTTTCCATGGTTGGTGCACTATTCATCGGTTTCCCAATCGTATTCTGCCTTTCAAAGTCACTCGTGTTTTCTTTTTCTAAACTCCAGAGCTCTTCGCCCCAGATCTCACTCAAGTCTTCTCTTCGATCTCCAGGCTATGAGAGTGGTGCGACATTCGTGCCCATCGTACACACTTGGGCACCAAAAAAGCGTTGTCGATTAGCACCCACTGACTAAATGCTTCCACCATCGCCATGTGTAATGGATTATGGCATCTGCACAGGTTGGCCATGACTGATCCCACCATAGACTTCGCATTTGTTTGTAAACTGTAGGCCTCGCTCACAGGAAATCCCATCTCCGCCTCAAGACCGATCTTCCATCCCCTGATCATTTGCTACACTCCTGGCCAAGACTCCACACTTAACGCTTCCACCAAATGGTAACGGCATCTCTAGAGATTGTAAACTGCACATCCTTAAAAAGAATCCCAATGCCGTCGCTATATTTACAGTAGTGCTCGCGTAACTCTCAGCCACTATCTGCACCTCGCTCTTCTCCTTCTCCGAGATGTCATCGCACCATGTGGCTAAATCCTCCCTCTGAAAGGATTGTATTCTGACACAGGACCGCCCATCACAAGAATGCTCTCCTCCTCCACATGCCAGGTCCAGACAACTGCCAGGCTCGGTCTTCTTTACTAGCTTATCCAGCTTGATGGTTGCTCCCTCTGATTCCCCTTGATGAGGTAGGATCAATTTATGCACTATATTCAAATTCCCCAAATCTTCATCCTTCGTTGGCGATAATCTCACCCGCTCCGTAACTTCTTCGATCAGGCTCGCGTGGGGATGTGGGCACCAAAATGGTCTCAGCAACTTCCAAATGGTCTCCAAATTTGTAGACAACACGTCGTTTCCGCTTCCCAGTCGTAGTTCGACCTTTTTGTCCGAACGCGGGACGCTGATAATTTCCGGCATCTTCTCAAGTAGCAGACCTAGACTCGGTCTTTCCCTTTTCGTCGGGTCAATCTCGACTATTTTCTCCGTCCAGAACTTTAACAATTCCGCCACTTCAAAATTCATGCAAGCGTTTCCATCTTCCGAGTCCAAGAAAGGGTTGTAAGCTATCCCCATCACTCCAGACACATATTGATATTCTCCCCGTTTTGTGGGCCTTCCCATGATTCTCTAGAGACTGCCTTGAGCCATCCCCCTTGGCAATCCCATTACTCTGGTACACATTCAGGATGACGGTGGAGACTCGCCTTTCCATTGTCTTGCTTCCTATCTCTCTCTGGTGGCACGTCTTGAAGGCGGTGTCAGACATCACTGACATGATCCATATCAAGAAACAGGTGGCATTTTTCCTCATCGCTAGACTCAATCCCGAGTTATCTCGAGCAATGTGTTGCGCCAACATTTGGTACACGCGCAAACTCTCATCGCATTTTGAGTTTGTCGTACAAAGTCAACGCTTCCAACGCCACTCCCGCTAAGCTCCATGAAAACAGCAACTCTCCGGCTGTCCTGAAAAAAGGATTCGCCATCAATGATGATGCCGACGAGGGTGCTCTCATCGCATCTTCAAATTATTCCAGAAGCAAGTTTTCCCAAGTTCGCCCAGCTGGCTCTCCAACTCTAGCTTGTTAACTTCGGCCCTCTGTTGGTAGCCCAATTCCGGCGCTTCCGGGATACTTCGCAATCAAGCGAGCGGTGTTCCTCGTCGCACTTCTCTCAAGAGGGTCCCTTGTCCTTTACTTCCCAGTATCCTCGTGTTGTGTCGAGATCTATTCTTTACGGATATCCACCTCCCATATTTAATCACTGGTGGACCCTCCTTTTCGCATTCGCCTTCTGAGGTTTGAAGTCTTCCTCTTTCCCTGGAATCCTTGAGGCCTCCACTTCGACCAACACCTCAGCCAACCTCCTGGCCGTCGAGCCGCCCTTGTATGCCTCTGTCTTCCATCGCGCCAGATCCATGGGAGCCATCTCGTTCAAATTCTTTTCTGAAACTGCTTCCGCCGAAAGACTTGCCTCTTTTGCTTCCCGTTTCCTCTTCCTAGGTCTTACTCCTCTACTCGGGGTCGTCGTCACTACCATTACCGACTCGACTTCTTCGTCCAGATCCCCTCTCTCCGACTCTTGCCTCCCCCTTAAGAATATTAATATCTTTAGCTATATTACTAGTTTTAGTT